AGGGCCGGCCGAGTGGCCCGATGGTTAAGAACTGGCTTGGGATGCCAGAGGGCCCTGGTTCGGATCCCACATATGAGGGCCAGTGACACTGCCCTCTATAGCTAAGATGCTGAACAACAGCTCAACTTGGAGCTGGGCTGCCATGAGTCGCTGGCGATGTCATACGCTGCAACCCTGTGGCAGTGGGTTGCCATGGGCTACCATGTGCAGCCAGCAGCCAGCGTGAGTGGCCAGCAGCCACAGTGAGCGGCCGTCCAGAATCCGGCGACTGATCTGCCTCGCTCGGGAAGAGTGCAATGATGGTGCCAACTCGGGCTAGTGAAGCAATGTCCTCCACAACTAGACTGAAGAACCAAACGACAGTAACTTGTCTGTTCTCCTTCCCCCAATTCCCCAGCGCTGTTCCCATCCCCCCAATTCCCCAATAAAAAATAAAATCTTAAAAAAAAAAGAAATATTATGTAACGATTACAAAACACAAGAATAGATAAACGGTAAAAGAAATTTTATGTACCAGTAACAAACTTACAATATTTATGCATCATAGAAGGACAAGAACTCTTCGTCATTCCAAGTTCCACAAAACCGATCATCATATTCCAGGGTATTATTTTGCATAAGGATATCATTATTGATTTCTAGATTTACACTTTTAACTCATAAGCATAAATAAAAGGATCAAAAACATTTATATAGATATGGAATTAGTATTACCTATGTATAATGCGCATCCTTATTCATCCCTCACATTTAAATTTAGGCAAAAAAGTGCACACTGTACACGGCAAAATATGGTGTTTTCAACAAATGGTGCTGGAACAACTGGACAGCCAAATGCAAACAAATGAATCTATTGGGTCGTTGGGAAACTCATGATGTATTTTTGCATTGAAAAACATAGAAAAATATGTCATGACTTTCCCAATGACACAATAGACACCGATCTTACACCCTTCACAAAAATCAACTCAAAATTGGTCATAGACCTAAATGTAAAAAGCAAAACTATAAAACTCCTAGAAGATATAAATAGGAGAAAATCTAGATAACCTTGTGTTTGGCAATGACTTTTTAAATGCAACACCAAAGGCGTAATCCATGAAAGAAAGAACTGATCAGCTGGACTTCATTAAAATTAAAAACCTGCTCTTTGAAAGACACTGTCAAGAGAATG